GTAGGAAATTTTTTAATATTCTATTGTTCCGGAATTTATATTGTATTGTGCGTTATTCTAATTCGTTTTTTTTTTATTAACTCTTTTTTCGAATTCAAAATAATCTACTAAAATTCAAAATAATTTTAATTACAAACTAGCGTAGTTGGAATTAAATTTTTAATGTAAATGTTGCCTGGAGCAATAAATAATTTCGCAGTCGGTAGGATTCGAACCTACGCTCCCAGAGGGAATCTGATTTCTAGTCAGACGCCTTAACCGCTCGGCCACGACTGCTTGTGGTATTAGAATTCTCGGAACGTAACTGGATATTTTTGATATTGCAGAAAATACAATTTACATAGTGTTTTGCACTTATTCTAATACTTTTCAATTAATTTTTGTACCTCCATCGATATCTTTATCACCCAAAGGTAAACCTAATTTTTAAGAGAAACAAGTAGTGTGAAATTTTCAAAAAATCGATTTGCAATTTTTCCACATTTCGATAGGTTATACCTTTAAAAATAACATTCAAAATTTTAAATCGATATCTTAAATAGTTCTTGAGTTACAGCCATTTAAAAAGTTTATATATAGTATAACGATCATTTAATCTTTAAACGCGTTTTTCTCGAAACAGCGTTTTCTGAATTCGCTGCAGCGATTACTCAAAAACAAATGATCCAATCACTATCAATTTTTTTTTACATGTTCTATATATAGTTCTCCGTGAAATGAACTATCGATTTTTTGATCGGATCAAAAATCGTATTTTGGCAGTCCAAAAACGACCAAAATTTTGGGTAAAATTCGACTTTTTTTAAAAAAAAAACGTCGTCATTTTGTCAATTTTTGATTTTTTTTCTTTATCGTAGTTCATTTTAAAGGCAATATTATTTTTTTCTTCAAAATGTTTACTATGAATTCTTAAAACATGTATAAATATATTCCTAAATTTTTAAAATGATTGATGAAGTAGTTTTTTTAATATAAATTCCCAAAAATCACCTTTTTTTAGGCGGTTACACGAGTTGTGCCCCTTAAATTTCAAATTTTCAAAATTTGATCATTATTTTGCTTTTTCTTAAGTTTGAATATAAAAACTTAAATTGTTTGTTACCTAGTTCTAATTTTATATTTCGACGTAGTTTCAAATTTGCCGTCATTACAAATTCTAGTCTTGAAATTAATCCTAAATATAGAGGCTTAGCATGCTTGTTTATAATTAATCTACCTGGTCTACTATGACTAAAATATGAAGATATATCCAAGCCATACGTGTATGTATTATACAGTTAAGGATAAAGGAATTATCTTATGATACTGATTTTTGATTGTAAAATTGTATTGAGTTGTTACTCATAATTTTTTCAAATTGAATCTATTTCGCAGAAATCCCAATAGATTAATTTTGCGTTTATTCGTGATAAATTAAATGGATCTAACATGTTATACATAGAAGTGCACTTTCGATTATCATTTAAATATGGTACATTTATGATAATGAGTCAGTGATTAAAATATTTATTTTGGCTGGTAGATAACTAGACCTAAATTATAGAGTGTGTTGATATGAACTTTGACATACTGAAATATATATTATTATTATTATTGTATTACTAGACAAAATATTAGGAAGATGAAGCTGATATGTGCTGAAAAGGTAGGAATTTTTTTAATATTCTTTTGTTCTGGAATTTATATTGTAATATGCATTATTATAATTTTTTGTTGTTTATTAACTATCTTTTTGAATTTAAAATTATCTACTAAAATTTAGAATCACCTGTTCCTTTAATTTGTTGTCCCTTGGGTATGCCAAATTAGTATTCCTAAATCATTCCGTTTATTTAGACCACTTTTTTCCAATGGGAGAAATTAAGGCTTAAGCGTGTAATTTTGTTGTTCTGGGCCTAATCATGAATTTCGATTGAGATAGTAATAGTTGACGATCTGCAAAAGCAGAATTGAAGTAGATTTTTGTGGGATGTATTTTGTTTTGAAGTAATTTATCGATGGTTTAGTAGCCACAACTTGATTACCATATTATTAAAATGGTGCACAGGTGTGTGAATGCACTTTTTGAATTTTCTTAATTAAATTTGTCAAAAAGATTTGCGTCGGCCGGGAATCGAACCCGGATCAACTGCTTGGAAGGCAACTATGCTGACCATTACACCACCGACGCTATAGTAACACAACTTTTAACACAATGCTCGATGTACTTTCTAAATTTTATTTCAGAATAACCAGTTTGTTGTTGTTTGCAAAATAGTACTAGAAAATTAATTCGTAATATGATAGAGACTATGCTATTGCAGAAATTAAGTGTAGGCTTCACAAATTTTGAAAATTTACGATATTAATAATTCAGTAACTCTTTGTATTGAAGAAAAATACAATCTAATCTTTCGCAAAGGTTTGTCCAAGTATTAAAATGCTGAATTAGCAAAATAAATCTGTCTGAGTAAATTCTTTGACTGTTTGGAAGCTAAACTTGATCTATTTCTCATTGAGATTTTGAGATTTGAATCGACCTATTACAAATGTTATGGCAAGGCCATGTTAGGCTCCAACTTCCATACATTATGCTACTAAACCTTAATGAATATTATCAAAATATCATATATTTGCTGTGCATTCAGGCAGTTTTATACATAAACTGCAACGTCACTCGTATGTTATGAACCTGAGTCAGAAAGACCCTGTTATCTAACATCGTTTCTTTGACATTTGTGCGGTTTCTAAGTTGTTTTCTATCTGACAACCTGAGAAAATTGCCTGACTGCACAGAAACCACATAGCTTTTGTCAATATTTAGAACGAATTTGTATGGAAAGTTCTTCATAACATAGCCTTGCCATAACATTGGTCTATCATTGCGGCAGAATAGGGCCCTTAGTATGGATATGAAAATATAAGTATCAGTTTTAATCTTGTCGTTACTTATTTTCGACACTAGTTTCCCGAAATGCCACTAGTTTCTTTAAAAGTTTATTTACATTGCGAGGTATATTCTCAGGTTACCAGATCTTCATTGATGTCCAATTTTTTTCAATTTTTAATTAAATTATAGCAGTGATGCCCCAAACCACTTAGACTTGATATCACGTTGTCCAAGGCAAGAAAAAAAGCTAGAAGAGCCAAAGTACTGAGATTTGAATCAACCCCATAAGTATCATTTCTGATATTGTCATTTATTATTTTTACCACGAGTTTCCAGAAATGACACTGGTGATTCATTTGAAAGTTTATTCACATCGCAAAGTATTTTCTCGTGTCGTTGCCTGCACTATGGATTTCTTTGTGTATATTCATATTGTTTGAGAACGTTCTTAATAGGAGATGCTGGATGCTGCGCGTGGGTCATATTTTGCATGTTGATTAGAAAAGTTATCACTCCGGGGACAAATTATACCATTGTGCAAAATAAAATCTACAAACGACGCTTTTGGGATTTGCGACAATGTGATTGAAATAGAAACAACTAGAAACTTTATTTTTAGTTGGAAAGTGGCAACTATCTTAGTCTTTCAATAATAATATTTTTAATTTGTTATCAAATTGTGTGTGCAAACAAAATTTTAATTTAATGCCCTAAAATGTGATATGTGAAAATCACTTCTTTTAAATGATATATTTTAAAAATATGTTAAAATTTTAAACGTATTTGATTTAATTCAATTTATCACAAAATTTCAATTAACTTTGTCGATTGAACTGTGGTTGAATATATTTATCAAGGCTTTGTTCATATGTTTTTAATACAACAGAACTATCAAAACAAATAATTTGGTAACGAATTTTTTACCAATTCTACGAAATTCAATTTGGCAATGCGGCTTTATAATTAAAACAATTTCATGTGAAATATATGACACTAAAACTTTTGATGTTTGAAAATGCCTATGATATTTTCCATTCATTAATTGAGATGTTGTTAACACAATTTTTTCGGGGTTGCAATATTTTCAAACAAATACTGAATATTTTGTACTCGTGGCTAATTAGTTTGTTAGAAATTTCTTATTATTTTTATCGTGTTTTGATATCTTAGTGAAATTCTATTCATAATTTTCTACAACGCAAAAGACGTGTGTTTCACAAAATATTTGTATTTTAAAAGCTTTGATATTGCTGTACCCAGAAAGGTATCGATGTCTTCATTATCTTCAACATTATCATAATGCTCAAGATGTTAAATTTGACGCAAATCATCGATTTTATGTCACTATTTATAACAGGATGATATTTTCTTCAACAGGAAAAATCATATTTTTATTTACTACAATCTCTGGCTATTTCTTAAAATAATATTTCCAGTTTCATGTTATCGCAACTTCTGAGCACTGTTTTCCTAAAGATTTATGAAGGATACTAAATAATTTATTAGTCAGGTTATATATGCGGAAGATGTTTATTTGATTTACAAGTGCATCGTGATTTTGATTTTTATGAGACATAAATAATAAAGTGTTGTTTCTTTGAATCTATATATATAAAATAGTCACTTCATAGTATCACGTGGATTTGTATTATCTTCTACTGTTTTATCTCTTAACATTGTATCATTTTTGTATTTTCCGGATAAGAATTATCATGAAGAAGTAAAATTAGAAGTATCATTAGAACGTGCCGCCTGAAGGAACTGAATGTTGTTTCCAACTATGTAACTTGCTAAATTGGCTCCTACAGAAAGTGAAGATGATAATATAACGAATTATCTTTTGTTAGCTATTACATTACTTGGATATGTATATAATACTGTGAGAAGGAAATTGTTTTGGGTCATTTTATCAAAAGGGAAGATAATTGTCCTACAAGTGCATCGTGATTTTGATTTTTATGAGACATAAATAATAAAGTGTTGTTTCTCTCTATATATATAAAATAGTCACTTCATAGTATCACGTGGATTTGTATTATCTTCTACTGTTTTATCTCTTAACATTGTATCATTTTTGTATTTTCCGGATAAGAATTATCATGAAGAAGTAAAATTAGAAGTATCATTAGAA